CCAGTGAGGCAAGAGAAAATGTTATGTATTTGAGTAGATTCCTATTTTGCTTTCATGTACTACTGAACAGCAGATTGTCCAAGGGAGAAAAAAGTATCTGCTTCTTCCAGATGGTCCAATAACAGCCAACAATTTTACTTGGCTTTTAAGCTTAAGTCTGTGAACTGGCTGGAGCCAGACCTTAAGATGCAGTCTACTACCCACTGAAGAACAAGAAACAAAGAACGGGGTGGGAGTCCCAATCTCACCCATCATATTTATATGTCTCTGTCTAGCTTGAAGAAGCCAAAGAAAAGAGGTAAACAGCCTGTCTACATTTGAATGACAGTCTTCCTATGTGTTCAGACTGGAGGAGAATAAGTACTTAGTAAGTCAGAGGTCTCAGACATTGAGGGCTTAGGCACTTCCCTGCTCATTCAGTAAAGGAATACATGCCTTCCCTTCATACATGCCTCAGGAGACCTAAATACAAACAATACTTGCCACACGGGTTCTGATTCTCTTCAGAGACTATGTCATGCTGTCTTTGGTGCTGGAGTCTAAACTGTCTTTTGAGTCCCCACTGTGCTATTGTCCCTCTGTCTGTCTATCCATGGCATTAATAACTCTTCCAATAAACTCCCCAGTCTCCAGTTAAAAATATTACAAGTACATATTGGATTAAGAGGGGCAAAAAGAACAAGATTCATGAGTCCAGAAAAAGAAGAGTCAAAGATCGGTTCAGACCGTGTTTTTCTTTTCAGCCCTTCTCTCCCCGACTCACAACAGCATTCATCTTTCATTATTTACCACAAATGCCACGTATTTCTGAACTATATTCTAAAACTGGATAGCTGATCTATGACTGAATGACAATCATAAAACTTAAGATGACTTTTGTGAAATATTTCATCTTAAAAGCCATTTACGGAAAGTAAAAGTCCACACAGCTGAATTTTACTATAAAATTTCTGTTAATAGTTCCCATCACATAATACACTCCTTATCTTGTTTTGAAAACCATTGATTTTAGTAATACTGCTTAACATGAGACCTATCATCTTAAAAATTTTAAGTTCACATTAACAGTTTTGCTGACTATAAGCACAATATTGTGAAACAGACCCACAACTTATGCATCTTGCTTAAAGAACATTTTGTCCATTGATTAGTAACTCCCTTTTCCCCCACTGTCCCAGCCCTAGTATTCGGTTCTACTCTGATGATGTAGTTTGGATTGGTTTATATACTATACACTAGTGAAATCACATGGACAATTTGGATTTTATGTCCTGTAACTTAGTGTAGTCACAATGCAGTTGTTTTCCTCCAAGTTTTTACTTCTCTTAGCATAACAACACTGTGGGTTCAATCGTATTGTTTCATGTTGCAGGCACTCCATTGTATTTCATTTTTTCACATTATATTTTATATTTTTTTCATTCTTTCATCCATTAATGAACACCTAGGTGGTTTTCATATCTCAGCTATTGTAAGCAATGCTTCAGGGAATTTAGGAGTGGTACTCTCTCTTCAGTGGCCTATGGGAAATCTTTTGGGTCCGCGCCTAGAAGTGGGAATTCTGGATCATATGGCAATGATATTTTTGAGGATTTTTTCATACTATTTTCCATAGCAGCTTCACCATTTTGCATTTTCCCCAAGAATATGCAATGGTTAAAGTCTCTCTGTAACCCTACCATCATTGTTCTCTTTTGCTTTTTAAAAAATAATAGTCAGCGTAACAAATATGAGGTGATATTTCATTGCGAGCCTGATTTGCATTTCCCTGATGATGAATGACATTGAACATTTTCTCATCTGTCTGCAGGATTATTTTTCATAGGCCTAAAGGAAGGAATTTGAATACACACACCACACACACAAAATTGAAGATGTTTCCAAAGGAGAAAAAAAAAACAACAAAGAAACAGTTGAAAACAATCACTCTTAAATATCCTAATTCTCTATCATTGTATCTTTAGCGTTTCAACAATTGTATTCTCCTTTGAGTACATACCAAGAAAATACTCATACAGAATATTTTAGTTACCCTAAAACTGTGCCACACTGCTCCTTCTCCCCACAACACCTGACATTTTCTAAGATGGAAACAGTTGTAATAGTTTAGTATATAACCTTTGCAGATGGCCTTCTCTAACTTGATAATACATATTTAAGACTCCTCCATATCCTCTCCTCACTAGACAGCTCATTTCCTCTCAAGTCTGAACACTTTGTCCAGACATATCCCAGGGTATTTTTCCATCCACTAAGGGGTATCTTGACAACTTCCAAGTTCAGGCAATGCTTAAAGCAACTACTGTAAACACCTGTGTGCAGATTCCGTCATGTGCAATGTTTTTCAGGTTCTTTGAGTAAACAACAAAGAAAACAATTTCTGAATCACATGGAAAGGGTGTGTTTAGTTTGTGAGAGTCACTGTTCCTCTGTAGTTCTGTCAGCATTCTGTGCTGTTAGTGTTTTGCATCTTGTTCTAATTAACATTTCCCCGTGATATATAATCTGGAGCATCTTTTCTTATTCTTGTTTGCCATCATCTATTACCTCTGGTGAGGTTTCTGTTAAGTTCTTTAAAAAAGAAAGTGGAGTTTGTCTTGATGATACTTTTTACTTCATTTATAGAGATTTACTCAGGAGCCATCAGCCTGCTTAGAAAAGAATTAGAGTAGGGAAAGTCTTCCAAGGAGAGTTTCATGTCACCACTATACTTTCAGTCATATTGTGTGTGTGAATTGAAGAGAAATTACAGAGTCTAGTACAGTTTCTTTTTCTGAATTTTAAAAGTAGAAAACCATATATCTATTCAATGGATGGTGCAATGCTTTGTAAGAAGGGAACTTCTGTGGGTAAATTTAGAAAATATTTTAATAATGCTATTTATAAGTTGACTTTAAAAACAGCTGAAGTCTTGTGAAATAATCCTTCTGTACACTATGAATAGGTATGACTCTCACTGGTTAATAAAGAACTGACTGGTTGGTAGCCAGGCAAGGAGAATTGGCAGAACAACTAAACTACGGATGCTGGGATGAAGAAGGTGGAGTCAGAGGAGTTGCAAGCAGACACAGAGAGAAGCAAGATGGGCATGCTGTACTGAGAAAAGGTACCAAGACACATGGCAACGCATAGATAAGAAACATGGGTTAATTTAAATGTAAGAGTTAGATAGTAACAAGCCTGAGCTATTGGCTGATCATTTATAATTAATATTAAGCCTCAGTGTGTTTATTTAGGAGTGTAGGTGGGACAGAAACTTCCTCCTACACTGAAGAGTGTTCCTATTACATTCAGCTATCTTAATCAATATAGGTCTTTAAAGTAGTTAAAATACTAAACTGTAATACAGTTTTCTGAAAGGTTAATGTGTGCGTGCGTGTGTGTGTGTGTGTGTGTGTGTGTGTGTGTGTGTGTGTGTGTGTGTTTGTACATGTGTGTGCCAGTGCCTGTGTAGGCCAGAAGGGGCCATCAGATCCCCTGGAGTTGAAGTTGAAGGTAGTTGTGAGCTGTTGGCTGTGTAGTCTGGTAACTCTGGTTGAACTCTGGTCTTCTACAAGAGCAGCAAGTACTCTTAACTGCTGAGACATTTCTCTGGCCCCACAATGTAGAGCCCAGAACTAGTTCTGCCACACTGTAAGATTAAAAAAAAAAATGCAAAATATTGAATGGACTTTACATATAGGGAAGTGCTGTCTATAGTAAGTGAAAGTAATATTCTTCTTATATTAAGTAGTTGCATGTCACAATGACCAGGTTATCTTCAAGAAAAATTCTTAGCAACCGAACTATTTATAAAATCTTAATTTACTGATAAAACATTATAATGATGAAACTTTACAAGCAAATCAGTAAGTCTTGAAGATGACATAATATTCCTTCAAACTAATAGTGTTGCTTGACATTTTTAAAAGCAGAAGTAGGAAAAAGCCAAATATAGATAAAACTGAAATATAAGTTTTAAAATCAAGATTTCCCAGTAAGGGAATCTGTTTTTATGAAGAAGAAATCTGATGGTGAATAAGGTATCTGGTATTTTTATTGCTTCTCCCGTAGTAAGATAAGACCTTGAAGTCAGTATTGGCTCTAAAGTCATAGTGACTCTGATGTCAAAATAGCCTTTGAACTAAAATTCTATATGATGCCCTGCTACCTAATTTATTTCAAAGCACTATTCAAATAACTGATATGTAAAAAAAAATCAATCAAATCCAATACTTTCATGCACTTTAGCCATATTCTCTATAACTGGAATTTTTCCATAGGAACCAATAGAATTATAATATCAAAGATAGATTAGCTACACTTAGCTATTATTAAACTAAGAAAAACGTTACTCTCTTCTGATAGTTATTTTTTGTTGGATACGTCCATAATCATTTGGGTACTAACTCTCTGACCTTAACTCCTTACCAGACAAAGGCCATTACAGAAAACCAAGTCAATGAAAATGTAAAGAACAACTGGCCATAGGGATTGCAAGTCTAGTTGTTACATTTAAAACACAACCCCTACACCTCAGGTTCAGGGACTATCACAGAAGGGAGAGGGAGGGATTATAAGAGCCAGAGGACCAAGAAGTCTGCAGCCAGATTGTGTCTTCTAGATATGACAGGAAGCTACACCCATGAAGTCTCAACAACATGGGTGTCTAAACAAGACTGGAACAGTGAGTGACAACACCAAGTGACATGGTGATGCGGATGGGGAAAATATCAAAGGGCTCCACACCTAGGTGAAGAAATACAGGCAATCAATGACTGCTGAGAGAGGAAGAATTAGGCCTCTCCAGCAATGAACCCCCTTTTGGTTATCCAATATCACTTGATCATCCCTAAAAATATATATACACAAGTGTCATTACATGGACTCAGCAGGATGCATTTATATAATTATTCCTCTCTCTCTCTCTCTCTCTCTCTCTCTCTCTCTCTGTGTGTGTGTGTGTGTGTGTGTGTGTGTGTGTGTGTGTGCGTGTGTAAAACAATAAATAAAGAAAAAGAATAGTTACCTGGAATGGAAGATATCATGAACACAAAAGTGGTTTTCCCAGGGTAAGTTGATGCATTGCATTCCAGATGTGCTGAGCCCCAAGCTATGATTTCCCCTAAATGCTAGAAAATAGACTGCATAATTTGTGGTAGTGGGAGGCTGTGTTCCCACTTTGTCCTATTAAATATAAGAGTTTAAAGATATTAAGTCCTATGCAACAAGAGAGAAACTGGCCTGATACTGGAAACCTAGTCAACTACCTAGGGATAGTATTGGTATTGACATGAGTCTTGGAAGAAAACCTACAACCATCACTTTACTAAACCAGCACAATCCCTGACTATATTCTAAATATTTGTTTTCACCATCTCTTGCAACAGAGGATATTACATAAAACCACAACCAATCAAAAGGCAGAGTTGTAGATCCAAGTCGCAATGGATATATCTAAAAATCAACTCCTTCACCTAAGGCTAAGGGAATGTTGCAGAAGAGAGGCAGAGGATCAGAGGTTAACTGTGAGACTGTCTTCTAGTAGTCAGAAGCCACACCCACAAAGTCTCACCAATGTGACTGCCTAAGCATGCACTAACAAGGACAGTAATAGACATGGAAAGTAGATAGGAGAAAGCTCATGAGGCCTCACCCTACATATGAACTACAAGCAACTAGTGAATGCTGAGAATGGGAGAAATTGTCTTTCTTAGGGGGAGAGTTCACCAATTAGCTATCCAATACCAAATGGTCAGCCCCCCCCAAAAAATATATATATATATACATGTAACAACAATTCATGAAAAAAGTGGCCAAGAATTTAAATGAGAGCTAGGAGAAATATATGGGAGCGTTTGCAGGAAAGAAAGGGCAGGGGGAATGATGCAATTATATTATAATCTAAAAATAAAAGAAACAACTAATAAAAGCATTATAGAAAAATAAGCTATGAATTTGAGAGGGAGTGGGGAGTTGCATGAAAGAAGTCAGAGAGAGAAGCAGGAGAGGGAAATGATGTAATTATATTTTAAATAAAAATAAATAAGATGTATATGGAAAGGAGATGAATTTAAGAAAAATAGTTATGACTAAATTGTTCCAAACTAATGAAAGACGAGGAGGGAAGTCTGAAGTCAGGTTTAAAGAAACAGTTCTTGAGGAATCTGAATTTAGACAAGGTTGATAAATAATGAGTGCTCTGACACATGAGCCTTTCACATGTTTCATTTTGCACTGCGCTTCTTTGAACAGTTACATTAAGCTATAAGTTGGTCCAGATTTGAAGATACTAGGTAGAAGTGAGTCAGAACTCACTGTGTCTGGAGCTCCTAATAGCAGCAATTTTATATTTAAGAACACATAGTGCAGGTACAATATCTAAACATTCAAAATTTCTTGCTCATTTTCAGTTTTAGGATATATGTTTTCAACCAAGACTATCATATCTGTTTACATTTGAAATGTCAGCAAATGTAGAGCTTAACATGATACCCTGAGAATTACTGCGTAGTTGATATCGAGCCCCTACCTTCTTCTCTTAGCTAGTCTTCCCCAGTGACTGTAAAGAACTCCCCTGATTCAGCTTTTTTTTCTAGTATAGAATTTGTAAGAGTTACTAAAATAATTTTATAAGAACTGAACCTAGACTTCTTCAGCAAATAAGTCCATAAAATGTAGTGAAGAGCTAGAGTGCAATGTAAGTGAAATGGAAAACTCTCACACTTGAATAGATTTCTGATTCAGATATAAAGTTCATTATTTGTCATTGATTTTTAAATCGGTGGTTATGCAGCTAGATGAGTGTAAATAATAGATGCATCTTGGTCTGCTTCAGATATTAAAACTCTATCTCAAAAGTTTCTCCCACCAAATATACTTAAATAGTGAGACTGTATGTATATTTATTTTTATGACATATACGTGATTCTTTATATCTAAGTATGAGAAAGTTGTGTACAATCTTGATACTGCATGATGTTGTCATTTTTAAACTTTATGCTTCAGTACCACTCTATCAAGTTAAAATAAACCTCAAAAATTATTCATAGTGCTTTAAGATTGTGATTTTCTGTTGGGCCACATTCATAGCTGTCCTGGGCTCCATGCATCTTTCTGCCTGCAGGTTAGACACAATTACATGAGTTATGGACCAGTAAGTACTATTAGGTAAAATTAAATTATGATGATAATTAATTTGATATTATAGGTAGGCATCATATAAGGTAGAATTCCCATTGAATTCCAGGATTAACAACTGTCTGCTTTAGCTTTTCACTTTATATAATCTATTGCTGGTCACAATGGATGGCATGAGAGAGTTATTTTAGAGTCAGAGTCCTAGTCTCCCTTTCCTCCCAATCCATGCTTTCTCCCAAACCTTCCAGATATAGCCAGGATTCCACGTCCAGTGTTCTGCCCTACTCTGGCCATAACAACCTGTACAGCAAAGCAAACCTCTAAGCTTCATTCAGGACCTGTACTTGTTCCTTGTGAACTGCATCTAATCATATCACCAAGCCAAGTTTCCCACTTTCTTCTCAAGGATCTAGCTGCATGACTCTTCCTGACTTTACACATTCTTTGTGTCTCCACAAACCCACCAGATCTAGCCAGGGTGAGTACCCTTGCCTAGATTGGTCTCCTGTGCCTGTACCAAAAATGGTTTCTTTAGGCTTTAGTCAGGACCCTTCCTACTGATCCTCTAATCAGGGAACACTCCTCTACCATATCCAACCTTTCTATCCAGCCAGATCCACCGCCACACTACAGACTTGGACAAGTAGCTCTTGTGCACTATCCCAATTCTCTCTGTCTACATGACTTCATTCAAGCCATGCCATTTCCAATCTCTGGGCCCAACCTGCTTGCACATCTTATCTTCTGCTCCAACCTGCTCTGTTCACAACAGGTTTATAACTAACAAAAGTGGTCCACATGCCCAGATCTTATAAAAACACAAACAGTATGAAAAATCGAGCCAGTATCTTCTCCCTAAAAATCTACCAGTCTGGTACAAATGTTTATCAATGAGAATTACCTAGCTGAACTCCAGGACACAGACTTTAAAAAACAACAATGAACTTCATCAAAGAATTCAAGAAGTTTAGAAGAGCCTCAAACAGCTCAATGAAATTAAGAAAGAGCTTAAGGAGAATAAACACCTGTGTGATGCTCTAGAAAACATAAACATTAGACTGATGGGAACGACAATGACAATCCAGAACTTCAGAGTGTGTTTTACTAAGAAGACAGAAATGTTGAAGAGAACTCACATGGAAATTAATATGGAGTTGAAAACCTAAATAACTCAGCAGAGAGGATTACAAGTAGAAGGAATCAAGCAAAAGAATAAATATCAGGACTTATAGATAAAACAGAAGATCTAGACCAAATAAGCAAGGAATACAAAAAACACAGAAAAGGAACATACAGGAATGTGGGATATAATGAAAGCAAACAAACAAATGAAAAAAACAAGCTTTGACTTGTAGATAGAAATGTGGAATAAGAATCCCCTGCCAATGGCATAGACCAGATCTTCAACAATATCATAGAAAAAAGCTTACCAAGACACACCTATACAGAGAAAACAAACAAAAAACAAACATAGAACACAAAATAGACTAGAAAAATAAAATCTATACAGTATATAATAGTTAAAACACTAAATATATATAAACAACAACTACAGCAACCACAAAAAGTCACACATAATGGAAAACCTATCAGAATGACAGCTGATTCCTCAATGTAAGCTTGGAAAGCAAGAAAAGACTGGAGCCATGCATTCCGAGTCCAAAATACTATGCCAGCCAACCAAGACTAATACACCCAGCAAAACTATCTCCCATGATTAAAGGAGAAAGAAAAACTTTTCATGACATAAACAATAAAATTTTATATCCAACAAACCAAACCTAAAGAACATATAGAAAGAATTAATTCATGCTGAAGAAAGGAGAGAGCACAGCAGTGAGACCATAGAAAGAATGCAGAGTCACAATCATTAAAACACAAAATATCAATGAGAACACAAAGAACAACACCAAAAATCAAGGACACAGTGACCACAATTAACACATACATTTCAATAACTTTATATATGAATGGTTTCAATTCCCCATTCAAAAGGCACAGACTGACTAAAGGGATCCAGAAACAAAATCCCTATATCTGTTGTCTACAAGAAATATATCTTAGTTTTAAGAGAGGCACTTAAAGTGAAAGAATGACAGAAGTACTCTAATGATGTGAAACCTGGAAGCAAGCAGGTGTCACTGTGGTTACAATTGAAAACAAACAATCAAAAGCAATCAAAAGACATAGAATTCTTAATTCTGATACTTAGTTCAGAATTAAGAATACTTAATTCTGATTCATAGACACTTAATTCTGACCTAGGGAACAGTTAACCAAGAAGACATTACTATCCCAAACATATGTGCACCAAACTCTGGGGCAATAGTATCATAAAAAAATTCCATTTTTATTTTAAATGCAAAAATACTATTGCATTTAAAGACACAGATGAACATCAATCCAGTAGTATTAGTTGATTTCAATACCTCATTTTCTCCAATAAGCAAACCTATCAGGTTTAAAAAAAACAGAGAAACATCAAAACTAATTGACATCATAAATCAAATAACAGTTATCTATAGAAGATTCCACCAAAACACCAAATAATACACATTCTACTCAGCAGCATAAGGAAATTTTGCTAAAATAAACCACATCCTGGAAAACATTTTTTTTTACAAATTCAAAAGGTTTGAAATTACTCCATGTATCCTATCTGATTATAATGCAATAAAACTTAAAATGGACAGCAAACAAAACTCCAGTAAATACAAAACCTCACAGAGATTTAATACCTCATTACTGAATGATGAATGAGTCAAAGAAGAAATTAACAAAGAAATAAAAAAGTTTCTGGAACTATATAAAATTAAAACACTTCACAACACAGCCTCTGGGACACATTGAAAGTAGTCCTAAGAGGGAAAGTTATAGCTCTAAGGGGCTACATTGAAAAATCAGAAAGAGCACAAATAAAAAGCTTAATGATACAACTCAAAAGGTGGAAAAACAAAGACAAACCAAATCCAAACCTAGTTGACAGCAAGAAATAATGAAAATTAAGGCAGAAATCAGTGAACTAGAAACAAAGAACACATTACAAAGAA